CAGCTCCTGCTTATCGAGGAACATCTTGGGTATCTTCCGCCCTGGTACCCGTATCCACGTCCTCTTTCTGGGCAGCGAAAACTTTGCTGATATGTGGAACACGTACGAACGTAGAAAGACTCGATCAAAGTGACTTTTTTTATTGCCCCCCTGTATATAGATATCTAGGAGGTGACATGCGTACATCAGTCGTTGAATGATGGCTGTCCTCGTCATCACTACGTAGAAAGAAAGGAATTTGACTTTTCCTCCTCACTAAATGGGGAAGGGGCGTGACCTGTTTCATCATGTTACAATTAGGGCGCTTCGGATGGAAAGGAACCTGGCTTAGAGGCAAAAGGCGCTGCGGCTGACGTACCGTTTGGTTACTGAATCCGTATCGAGAAAGGGTTCAAAGCAAATTGAACTCCCACCGTTTGGGGTTCGGGTGACTTGCATGAGGCTTGTGTCGAAGGGAAGAAACGCTGGCCTCGTACAGCGACTGCTTGACGTAACCCTGAAAACATCGTATTAACCCAACCATGAATGCATATAGGAGCCGTTACGGTTCTCGCTAATGGAAGTCATTCATTCCACTCATCACTGGCTTCAGCGACCCTGCAATTATTATGAATTGTTTTCAGGGCGTATTCTTCCACTTGACATTCCCACATGGGTGTTTCTTCTAGCGTCGTTTGCCAGTTTTGCCTTCACATTTAGCGATTGCTGCCACCACCGCCCATCTACTGCATTTTCATGTGAAATTGTGTAAGTTTTTTTACAATTTTGAAACCGTAATAATTTCTGGCGCCCTTTTTCCTCGCGCCCACACCCACGGAGACACTCGCGATGGCGCGGAACAGTTGAGTCATTTTGGACAAAACAAATGGAATGTCATCGCTTGCATGACAGCCGAATTCCATTCCACTGACGATCGCAGATTCGCTGTCAGCCCGAAAGTTCTAAAGTTATACTTACAATTGGAGAGGGGAACACCGACAGGGGACTTTTCAGGCGTGGCTTTTTGGTAATGGTAAGAGCTTGAATAAGTACAGAGTAGGCTCAACAAGTACAGTAACCTAATATTCTTTGACATATAAACGTAGAATACTTCACTGGGTAATATCGTACCGCTACCTTGCAATACCTGAAACTTCCATGAACGGGTTGAGTTGATTCGCGCAAAGGTATTAGTCCAATATGGGTCTGCAGGAAGGACGTAGCAAGTCTCCCGGTCAGGTCATCCAGCCACAAAGAGTTTTCGCTGCTCGGCGAGATCATTAGTGTTGGCAAGGGCTACTTTCAAAGTGAATTAGGAACCTATAAATGATTTATCAATTTTTTTAATGAGGATCCCACGTAAATGGTGCCGTAGAGCTCCTCAAGAGTCTTGTTTTTAGAAATTTTCAACTTTTCTGACTTATACATCTAGAAATTTGTTTGCACCAATCGCATCCGCGGAAATAGTGTGATTAGAGATTCAGTTGAGTGAAATGACACTAAAGATCAGAGTAACTATACCGGACACATATATCATCCCCACTGTGAGATATAGGTACTGCTTGGAGATCTGACTCACTGGGAGACTTGCATGGCTTCCGGGTTCCCAGTCCATATATACTTTGATGATAAGTCCCTTGTCACTGAGGATGATGAGCTAGGCACGTCTAACGCTGGGTAAAAGGAGTCCTATTTGGTCGCTGAGAGGGTCATACTTGGCCGGTGAAAATTTTTTTGTGGCGGTTGATTTTTCCTGCTATACGCGCGCTATACACACCGTTGAGATGCTCCTATTTGGATGGGAGGTCGTATTTGCTCGTGTTTTCTTGAGGGGACAATTAGATACGCCTTATACTTTTTCCGGTTTTGGCTTTTCGTTTTTTGGCTTTTCACACCTTTTCACGCTTTACTTATTTTGGAAGATTCGTACGCAAAGTCATGAATCGCATGGAAAAGTTTTGCGAAAAAATTTGGAAATTTTTGGGAAAAGTGGTAGGAAGTTGGGACGAGTTAATTTTACGGTAGGTAGGATTGGATGGGTGCCTCACTAGAAGAGGTCGCTCGAGGGTAGGGGGTCGTATTATACAGAACTTTGCCCCAGCGACAGGACGTGCTCTGGTAGGAAGACTTCGAGGGACCATATCTCAGCTAGAACAAAAGGGTAACTTGTGCAGGTGCATGGCTTCAGTGAAGAGAGGAGGCAGTTTTTCCGTTCTTGCACCCTCAAGATAACATTGTTTCTTCAGGGAAGAAAGGAGTCACGACTTATCGTTTCATTATGGATCAAAGAAAGAAGAAGGTTAGTGACATCATGATTTTTCCGGATTTTCTCAAAATCACTTACCATTTGTGTTGTTATGTTGCTTCAGAAGGAGAGCGAGACGGCTTCTGCTAGTGATCAAAAAGGCATTCGGCATGTGCTGACAGAAGAACAGTCTGCAACAGTACTGGGAAGTGAGTATACTGTTTCGCCCTGACTACTCGTGCTTCCCCCACTTACAAACCAGTAGTAAGCAAAAAGTAAGCCAGTAAGTAAGAAGCTGTTAGTAAGCCAAACTTCAACACTTTTGCGCGACATTCGCTCTTTGCTTATAAGAAGTAACTGAGCCTGAACCATAGGTTTTACTTTATCTGTTCTGCCAGAGAGTCATTGCGAGACCAGAAACTATCAAAATGTCATTACTGTGTAGAAGTGAGAGCCACGGCTCGTTCTTGAAATTGGTCACCACCATATCTTCTATATCCGTACCCATGCTTTCGAAAACTCTTTCAGGTACACTGACACCGAAGATCGCTGACTTTCAACAACGGCAACCTTCTCGAATGCAAACGGAGGACACGGTATTAAGAAGGCAAATTTTGAAAATGACTCCTTATCACTGGAACTCTCATAAGATTGCGTTCATACTTCGCGGCAGCGTCCACCAGCGCCCAATAGCGTCCTACCACCGTCTCGAGCGTCCGGCAGCATCAGCGACTAAGAAGTGTAGATATCGATCTAGGGTCTGCTATCGTCTGCCAGCGTCTACCAGTGTCTGCTAGCGTCTGCCAGCGTACAGCAGCGTCTCGAGGGCTCTGAAGTATACGTATCGATTTAGCGTCTGCCAGCGTCTACCGTCCACCAGCGACGAGCACCAGACTGCTGGTAGAGAGTAGGATAAGATAAGATGTCACCAGCTGTCTGCTGCCCTACTATTTCCCCTCACACTCCACCAGTCGCCTGCTACCCTCCTATCTTCCCAATCTCTACCAGCCGTCGCTACCCCTCTATCGCCGCATACTCTCTACCCCGAGACGCTGCTGGTCGCTGGTAAACGCTGGCAGACGCTAGATCGTTACCTACTAGATCGATACCTATACTACCCTAGCCCTTGAGATGCTGTTGTTCACTGGAGGACGTTGGCAGACTATCAGACGCTGGCAGACACTTGATCGTATCTATACCTTCCTGGCCGCCGATGCTGCCTGACGCTAGGAACTCTGGTGGATGCTATTGGTCATTGATGGACGCTGCCGCAAAGTATGAACCGGTCAAAACACTATCCTTCGGGATCTCAGCGCAGAGCAGTTTTATAGAGTGTACACAAGAACCACGCGATAACGTCCTACGCCAGCACTACAGGCGTCGCCATCACAGGGTTGTTTTGTTCCCTCGTCTGTAGCGATAGCTCCACAGGCTTTATATCAAACGGATACCTGATTCTTGTCCAGGGAGAAAACTGTCGCTAACGAGTAGCAGGCCGGTTTGGTGATTTGAGGTGATCTGGAGAACGGATGTTCATGTCGAAGGAGTCAATGTCCCCTCCCCTTGGAGTACCCAAATCTGCTTCCAGGATTGTTTGAAAAAACCCACTTCAAAGTTCGGGAAAAGGGATAAATGGAAGTATGGGAAAAATGGGGAAGGTGCAATATGCCGATAATCCTATTGCAGCATTCAATACACCAAGCTGCTTCTTTTTGAATTAAAGGTGAACAGTGGTATGCGCCTTTTCCCTTTTCTGACAATAAATGGAATGATGGATCAGATAACACGTAGCTATAGCGAGTTTGTTTCAGGACCTCGCTAAGGTCGACGTTTCCCTTGGAATCCCTGCGACTACACAAATCGAACTCGATCGAACCACAGTGTTCTCCGAGGACAAATAGCGAACCCTAATCTATAGGGTTCTATGCGAACCCCTCCTGCTTTGAAGTGCTCATTTCATATTGTGTCTTTTCTCCGTCCAACGTGCTTTCGATAAATGCTTCTCTTTATGGCTGACGACTACTCACTCTGTCTTTTGTACGTTTTCGACGGCAATTCAATCACTTTACGGCCAGAATCATAACCGGCGCCATGGCGCAGTTCTTTGCAACACACTCGAACGAATGAAATCGATTCCCCACCTGCATCGCCTCGTTGTACAATCCGTACACTGCCTACTTCTATCTGATTTCTTCATGTTTCTATCCCCTGAAATCTTTGACCTCTTACATTTTCACGATTCGCTTCGGGACCTCACCTGCTTCTTCTTTGATAGTCTTTAACGGTTAGATGCAATTTGGAATTGAAGTTGATCTACAGGGGAAGGGCAAAAAATATTCTGCTGGTGCAGCGCACTATAAAAGTGATGTGACAAGTGGACACTGTACATCACTTCGAACACTCCCTCAATGGTCTCTTTAAAATCCGTTGATCCGATTTACATAGGTGGGATCTCAGCGCCTCCGACTTCTGAGAAGCTCGAGGCATGCAAAACAAAAAAGAGCCATAGTGACGTTGCCCAAAAAACTGGGACATAAACTCGTTTCCCTAAGATAGTAGTATGGCGTGTGCACTCGACATGACACAGAATAAGGTTACTCGTGGAATAATTTTCAACTTGCACAGCTGTCATCTTCTCTGTATTGAAGCATAGACACGTCCAAATTGAGTGCATTGAATAATATCCTCTTCAAGAAGCATAGCCACGAGCCACGTCTTAGCTGCAGTACGTAGCCACGCCTACCACACCTCAAGGATTCCGGGTATATGTACTGTGGGAACCTTCCTTGAGCTCATTGACGATGATGGGTGGTTTCTCCTGACTATTAGATCCTCGTAACTATTAGGTATATAGGCGGACTTTGCTCCAAGATATCATGAATTTTCAAGTAAGGTCGTTGGACGAAGACATTGTTAAGCTACTTTCTTTTTTTCTCCAGTATCCACAGCTTAAAGGCACAGTTCGCGACCGCAAATTGCGGGAAACGGAACTCAAATAGGCACAAAAAAGTGCTAAGTATCTGATTAGCGGAGAAAAGCAGCAGTAAAAGCAGTCCGAAATGTTATAGATAAAGATAACACAGTGGCTACTAGCTAGTAGCTAGCAGCCGGTGAGGGTCGGCATGGGCCTAAGGGTGTCCATGGCCTAATTAGCCAGCTTCTAGCGGAGTTCTTGCCGTTTTTCACATTTTGAAAGTAGCGCAGCCTCAAAAATCGCCTTCCGGGTCGTCCGACACATTTGAGAGGTCATAGCCTTATTTTTTCGCGGAATGTGCCTTTAAGCGGAATAGAAAGTTGGCGCGGGTGTCCATTTTTACCGGCCAGCGCGGGGTTCTTCCAGTTCAATTTCTCGAATCAGAAAGAAAAAACGAAGACCGACAGAAAAAGACACGGATCAAAGTGTGTTTTCAAGGGCATGAAATTTAATCCTGAGGCGAAGTAACAGATGCGAGAAGAAAAACATTCATTGCTCCCACAAGCTTTGGTTAGGAAAAGCGGCCATCCTCTTATGTCCAATCCATTCATTGTCACCGGTTTTGTAGAAGAAAGACCTGTCGTGTGCTATGGTAGAATCAAATTTCTACGCCTTGTAATGGCATTTCTGTCAGCCTAGGGTATGTGGCGTTTACGCCAACGAGAGTACCCTGCCTTGACAGTTTTCCATATTTTTTGGTTCCGCTTATGGAGGACCTGGGACGAGGTGGTGATAGTGATAAAGTGACGCGCCTAGGTACCACTCGCTTCGTTCTAGGTTCAAATCTCTGATCTGCTCCCGCCTAGAACAATCAAGATCTACCACTCCGGGAACGGTGATTGGTACCAGATTCGTCTGGGAGGATAAAACACTGACTTGTACATCGGCTGGCCCCGCAAGTCATTGTATAGGCCACATCGCATTCAATAAGCCACTACGATTCTGAATGGAAGTAGAATGCGTGCCGCATCCCACAAAGGGATTGATTGACGGCGAAGACTTTATCCTTTATCCTTCATAAAGGCCCTAATGCACTATGCTATCGACACTTTCTAGTGAGAAGTCAGCTCAATTTTAAACAAAATCTATCAATAATTGGAAAACTAGGTATATTGTGTACAGTATTCAAATTACCGAAATCACCGAAAACATGGTTTCTTAACGAAGTTTCTAACCAACCAGTTGGCAGTGTATCGGTTGATCGAAAATCAGCTCTTTTATTCGTAAATCTGTTGCCCGAATTTATTTTTTCTGTTAGTCAGCCCTTACATATTTCTTGCTTTTTTTACCTTTCGGTCAGGTAATTGCTTTTGAAGTACCGCGCACATTGAATCACTACGACTGTCTTATTGTTCACTGCCTTGTCGAGCCCCAGCGGTGGTGCTGAACGACTATTATAATTTCCTTCTTCAATGACACGTCTTTTTTGCAGAACAAATCCCTTCATAGTATGTATGATTGTTTTCATTTCTAAGAAAAGGGAAAGGCCAAGCAACCATAGTTAGCTTTTAGCGTAGTTGTTGCGGTAGTCACGAACTTTCCAGAGACTTTGTGCTGAATTTTGTTGAGACATTTTGGAATTCAACTCAAAATTAGACGAAATCTACCTCAAGGAGCCTACCTTAGAACCAGAATTGCCTCAAATTCTCTACCTGGGAGAAATCTGGAGAATTCTCTCCTGCTCATGACAAAAGTTTCTCAAGTCAAGAAATTCTCTTTTTGATACCCTTTATACTAGGTTGTCTCAAAAGTTCGTGATATTTTCGGAATTTTTCTTCAAGTCAAGTTTATTCCAGTGAGAAGCAATTTCGATCTACTGTACACATATACGTTACCTTCATCGGCAACCTGTTGCCAACCACCAGGCAAAGAGTGGCTGCCTTGCTTCCAGAAGCGTTTTGGTTCCGTGCCGAGAAAGATAGCCTTGGGTGCTTTTGAAATCGTATTCTTCACCTAGAAAGCGGGATGCTGAGGGATTAGTTTAGACGGCGGTCAGAAAGAGCAGACTGTGATGGAATTCACCAGCTTAGCTTCGGATCTCGAGCAGTGTCATTTTCCAAATGTGTGACCCTGAGCTGTGGTGGAGTAGGCAAACATTGCTCGGTTGTGGGACCAAATAGAGATTTTCATCCTCTCTTCGCGGTTGATTACAGGAGGACTCACTGGTTACCACAGCGTTGAGAGGAAGAAAGTCTCTGCGGTAAACCCCATGAATGGTTCACTACACGCACAGTATCACCCTCCTACGGTATGGATGGGATTGCAGTAACGGTTCTGCCCTTCCTGAAGGATCCAGCTATTGGCGCTTCCGGAAATAATTCAGCAGGAACACCTACTCCTTATCCAGTCACAGTTTTTGTTCAACCAGTCTGTATGGCGAGAGAAGTTGTAGACAGTACCCAGAAGGGCTCCACTTGGAGTATCGGTCAACTTGAAAAAATTTTGACCGACCTTCAATACTTTCTTGAGGGAGTGAGGTCCTCTGTCATTTGCGCTTCTGGCACAGTCAAAAGTAAGGACTATGATAGCGATAATCAATTGTACCAATATGGTGATTTCTAATACAGTAGTCAAATTCCATTCCCACGGCAGATGAACCTCTCTAGCGAGTTGTCGCCCAGAGAATGTCACTGGGAAGGCAAAAGGATCCTCCAGTCAAACCGCGCGTACTACGGAAGGAAGCCGTACGAACTGAAGAACTCAGCCTCAGCCGCAAGTGCGCGGTTGTGGCCTCATCCACGTGTGGCTTTGTGGAAATTCATATAGCGGCAGTGTGACGAAAGTGATGACTTTCATCTACCGTTTTAGATATGACAACAGCGACTGCGAGGGACGGTAAAGCAGCTGTGGGAAATGCTACTACACAACCTCCTTCCCATATATCTATCATACTCGTGGATCCCGAAATAACTGCGGAAAGATCTGATACGAGAATTAGAAAATGTTACGAACTTTTGGTACAACCTAATATTACTGGGTTCTTCATAAGCACTTCGTGAAGGTTAAGATTAGTGAACCAAAGTCTCTCCCTTTTCCCCATTTCAAGAGGCACAAATGGCGGTGTTCCGGAGACCCTTGAAGAGAAACTGTGTTCTCTTCTCCAAGAGCCAAGCCCTTTCATGTGTGTGGTGACTGGGTTCGCAGCTGCAGCAGCGAACCACTTTCTTCGCTCGAAAATGCACGGGAATGGGGCTGGAGGGTAGCGATACTCAGCTATCGTCTACCGATCTCGCCCGCGTTATCTTCAAGGTGCACATGCGTTGACAACAAAATCCGGCAGCGAAGGCGGAACACGGAGCCCGGGTTTCACTACCCTCCAGCTTTGTTGCTGCTGCAGTTGCGGGTGTATTCATCTCTTACATGGCAGGGACAGCATCCATAGAGGTGAGTGCAGTTTTTCTCTAAGTCTATGATATGGCCCGGTCTGCAACTGCAGAGGATGTACCATACATGAGACTCAAAAATTTGTACGAAATGAGAAAGACTATCTGTTCAGCCCGTGAGGGCAATAAGCTCATGGCGGCCTGTGTTGCTCATGTCGTTGTGATAATGTCGTTGTATCATCATGTCTTCCTTCCCGTCGTCTTCTGGTCTCTCTTCCTCGCTTTTCGGTGCACTTTCTTCTTCCGTATATTGCAGTTGCTCGACATCTTATACTCATCCAGATTTCATGATCGGGTGCGAAAATGGAGGCCTTATTGGTGACGTCTCCTAGTTTCTTTCTCGATCTCTCCTGTCGAGGGATTCGCTGCTCTTACTGGAGGTTCAGTAAGAGCAGCGAAGCGTGAAACTGTGCGAGGGATACTTTGTGTATACAGTTGAATTCAGTAGGACTCTTACTGACGTCCGTCCATCTCTTCTTTCATGCATATGGTTGTACAGTGTGCTTGCAGGTCCGGGCCTCTTTTCCTTGCCGATTCCGTGATT